ATAATTGCAAAGAACGCAGGATTTGGAAGATGTGGGGAAGTCCGATTGGAACTGTTAAAGTATTTTGGAAAGTTGGGGTTTATGTATTTTTTCTTTTCTTTACTTTCACTCTTTACTTTTTATTCTGTAAATTTCTGACTATCTGAAAGAAAACTTAATAAAATATTTAAAAAAAATAAAGGTAAAATTTCAAGCAACAAAGGGTGTTTGGTGGGGGGGGGAGTGTAAATACGGTACTAAAAAGACATATTTCTAAATATTATTCAGAAAATGAAGTTGAGAGATGAATGTCCTTTGACATTGTTGATCTGGGTTTGGGGCCAAATCATGTCTTTGAGTATCTGGTGTGACGGCCTAATATCATTGCCCCACAACAGGGTCAGGAGCCATTTCAAATTCAGAAGAAGAAGAAGAAGAAGAGTTTGGATTTGATATCCCGCTTTATCACTACCCGAAGGAGTCTCAAAGTGGCTAACATTCTCCTTTCCCTTCCTCCCCCACAACAAACACTCTGTGAGGTGAGTGAGGCTGAGAGACTTCAGAGAAGTGTGACTAGCCCAAGGTCACCCAGCAGCTGCATCTGGAGGAGCGGGGAAGCGAACCCGGTTCACCAGATTACGACTCTACCGCTCTTAACCACTACACCACACTGGCTCTCAGTCAGGGTTCCAGAAAATCCAAAGTCTACAAACAAACTCTAAAATAGCTTCTGAAATGTGACTTAAAATCTGAGTTTGCTGGGAATTCTGTATTTATCCTGGACAGGAATGTTCTAATGCAGGAGAAAGTCCATTTGATGCCCTTCAGATGTTGTAGGACTCCAACCGCCATCCGTTCCAGCCACCATGGACCGGGATGATGGAAGCTGCAACTGAGCATCATCTGAAGGGAACCACGTTAGCTCCCTAGATCTATTAGAACTGTTCTCTCTGTGTTCTGCATGCTAATCTTATGCCAATGATCTGAAAAATACATCACAAGCAACTCTGGCTTTTCATAGACCTCTGCTGAATCACTGCTGGAGACCTTTAACCAGCCAGTTCCAGGCCACTTCATCTTCCAAGTGCCACCAATTATTTAGATGTCCTGCCAACTACAAGCAGAGAACCATTTCCAATTCCTCCAGTGAGTTATTGCTGCACAATTGGAGGACACATTCCTGGCAGTGCCAGAACACTGGGTAACAGGCAGGGATGTCCTCCCAAATGCTTTTTTCAAAGTTTTTTTGAAGAGAGAGGCCATTTCCATTTGGCTGTTCTTCTATGACAACAAAATACTTCAGAGAAGGCATGATGTAAAGCCTATTGGCTGGTCCATGTGTGTCGTGAACTTCTCCCTTGGAGAAAGGGAGGGGGGATGGAAGAATCATGGGTAAATTTTGTTGCTGTCAGTTTGGTATATTCCCTTCCTGTTTTTATTTTAATCCGCTGAAAAAATACCCATTTCTTGTTGCCAGCTTCTGTGATCTATGCATGGCCTCAGCAGGTTTCATAGCTACGGCATTCATTTTGCACCAAATGGACTGAATAACAAACATAGCCACTTCATATACAGAGTGCATCATTTCCAAAGAACCTGTTTGATCAGTAATTCACATCACCTGAAATGTTTTCAGGTGTTGTATATATTCATCTAGATTTGGACAGGGAAATCACAGCGTGTCTGCAAGCAACACAGAAAGCTTAGAAAGTTCCAAAGTTTGAGAACTGAGCTCAAAACCCAGCATTGATTTAACAACAGATGGGCCTAGCAAAGCCCACCCAAAGGGATTTTCTCATGCCGAGTTGATGTGCTTTATGATTCTCCTAAAAAATGGCACAGAGCTGAGATAAAGCAGGCTCTTGCAACTCAAACGATGTGACATGAATTCAAATAGACTGATTTGTCTAGGAAATCTAATAAATAGAACTTATTAATTCTGAGCTGGAAGAAAAAAACCCATTCTACAATCCCTATTCATGTGCTCATTCTCCAATTAAATTATGCCCTTCGCACAAAAAATATCCCCATTAGTTTATAGAGGCTGGGAGAGGGAAGAGACATTGGCTAACCACAAACAGCCTACTTTTAAAGAGCACTAGAATGAAAACAAAGAACATCAAATTCCAACTGCCATATTAAGGTATCTCATTGTCAGTGGCATTTCCTTAATTCCCAAATAATCAATATCCCAGCAGCACCTCCTGTTTCCTCTTGATTGCTGCATTCACCAGAAAATGTTTAATTATCTTTGCTCTTTCGACCAACAGTAGATCTTTAAATGCCACAGCCTGCACTATAATTTTTTTAGTTATGGTTTGGATCTGCTACACCTTCTCCCGCTAAACATACTGGCAGGTGACTCCCTATGGAGGGGCACAGAGGCAGCAGTGTGCGGAAGAATGACTCATGGTTTCAGTTGTCTCTACAAGAATACACAGAGCATGTGAAACAAGCAAGAAGAACTTGAGTTCTAAATAAAAAGGTAAAGGTAAAGGGACCCCTGGCCATTAGGTCCAGTTGTGACCAACTCTGGGGTTGCAGTGCTCATCTCGCTTTATTGGCCGAGGCAGCCGGTGTACAGCTTCCGGGTCATGTGGCCAGCATGACTAAGCCGCTTCTGGTGAACCAGAGCAGCGCACAGAAACACCGTTTACCTTCCCGCCGGAACAGTACCTATTTATCTACTTGCACTTTGACGTGCTTTCGAACTGCTAGGTTGGCAGGATGAGTTCTAAATACAGGATGGTAAATATGGCCTAATAGGCATTACTGAAACCTGATGGGATGGCTGGAATGTAGAAACTGAGGGGTACAACCTGCTCAAATGGAACAGATCAAACAGAAAGGGAGGAGTAGAACAGTAGTAGGTCCAACAAATTCCTCAAATTCCTCAACTGACAATTTCATTTCCCAGAAGATGGAAGAAGCAACAAGGGAGTACTCTCTCTTGGACCTGAGACTCACCAACAGGGAGAAACTGATCAATGAAGCAATGTATAGGATAACCTTGGGAGGAAGTGATTATGTCCTCTTGGGTTTCATTAGACACCGGCAAGGGAAAACTGAGTGTAGTCAGACATGTACTTTAAGAAAGCCGATTTCAAAAGCTTAAGGGTCAGAAATGGCCAGAAATGGTCCCATGGTCAGGAATACTTAAAGAGAATGGAGTCCAAGATGCTTGTCAGTTTCTTGACACAGATATCTATGTTTTCATTCCTTTCATTCCTTCCTTTCATTCCACCAAAAATACACCTCCCTGAAATCTGACGCATATTACTCTGCTCTTAAAAGATCTGCACTGGTTGCCAATTTGCTAACAAGCTCAGATTAAGTTGTTAACATTGACATGTAAAACTCACATACAGCTTGGCTCCCAAATATCTGAAGGAACACCTGCTCCTACATTGACCTGCCTTGGGTAAGATCAGTGGGGGTGGCCCTGATGGCAGTGACACTGCCGACTGTGGTTTCAGGGGCAGTGGCATGTGAGAGGGCATTCTCTGCCGTGAAATGACTTGCACCATCCCTGTATGCTTTTCAATGATTGGTCAAGACCTGCCTCTTTACCCCAGGCCTTTGGGCATATTTCCTTCTCCTGTCTAGCTATGCACTGATGTACATTTCAGCTGTCCTGAAATCTCCCTGGTGCCAACTTCGTGACCACTTGTTTATAACCAGGAAAGATAAGCTTTTAATATGGAGTTACCACTGAGGTTTTTACATTAATACGATTGGATTTATTAGGTCTTTTAATAATGGGTAGCTATAGTTTTATAATCTGATTTATACTTGGCTTTTACTCATTTGTGAAACACCTCTGTATTTTTCTCAAAACGAGAGCGGGTGTATAAATTCTAAAAGCAACAACACTGATCAGGCTTCCTCATAATGGTTGCTAATACATAACAAAGAATGTGCACATTCATTGATGAATATCATGTCATCTAAATGCCATTTTTCCATCATAAAGCAGAACCATTTGGAAATTCAGATTCTTCCTAACGTTAGAAACTGTTTCTGCTATCAGAAAATCCTCTCCCCCTCCTTCCCTTTGAGTGCCAGAAACACCTACAGCAGGGTTTCCCAAACTCAGGTCTCCAGCTGCTTTTGGACTACAATTCCCATCATCCCTAGCTAGCAGGAACAGTGGTCAGGGATGATGGGAATTGTGGTCCAAAAACTGCTAGAGACCCAATTTTGGGAAACCCTGATCTACAGCTGTCATTCTACTTCTAGTTAAAGCATTGCTGTACGTTTCAGGAAGCCTTTCCAAAACGAGAACAAAAGAGAGGCCAGAGAAAGATACAAGCAGACAACAGATGAAAGCTGCACTAATCTGCAGTGACATGGTGCAACCTGTGATTCCTAAAGACACACATTCTAGAGCTGTTTTGAAAGGCCTGGTCTGCACGAAACAGCAGGTGGTTTTAGTGAAACTGTTTCAGGCCTGCACTATTTCAGGCTACAGGTGTATGGCTGCATGGCTACAGGTGTGGGGCTGCATGGCTGCATGGCCGTAGAATCATAGGACTGTCATGTTGGAAGGGAACCTAAGGCTCATCTAGTAAAACTTCCTACAATGCAGGAATCTCAACTAAAGCATGACAGGTGGCCATCCCACCTCTGCTGAAAAACCTCCAAGGAAGGAGGGTCCACCACCTCTGTCCCACAGCTGAACTGCTCTTACTGTCAGAAAGTTCTTCCTGATGTTTAGTTGAAATCTTCTTTTTTGAAACTTGAATCCATTGGTTTGGGTCCTACCCTCATGAACAGGAGAAAACAAGCTTGTTCCATCATCCACGTCAAACTAGACATGCAAGACTTCAACTCTGAAGTGGTACAGTCCTGGAGGTGCTTTTCCGTGACTGTTGACAGAGATAAAGCTCAAGCAAAGCAGAATAAGGTTGGATTCTGGACTACACCACTTCAGAATCACTGCGGGGGTGGGGGGTGGGTGGGCGCTGCATTCCTAGCCTAGCTAAATACCAAGAAGGGGATAGCAAAGAATGTTAACATACCTGTTATACGTATGTGATACTCCTCCTTTAAAATCTTCTTGAAATAAGGCAATCTAAACTGAAAGTGCGCAGCAGGCAAGCCAGGTAGATTGACATCAACATCACCCATAAAATGTGGAAACTCCCAGTCCTGGTGACAAAGAACAGAACAGAAAAGAAACCACCAATTATTTACCCTCTGAAATATTCATTTAAATTATATGTACTTTACTATTTGTACCATCTTGGCTGTGAGTCCTGGAAGAGCTCTTTGCCTTCTCCCACCTGGTCTGGGAAGGCAGGGCCCGGACTGACTCCAGCTACAAAAGCTGTGGCTGCTGAACAGACTCTTTGGCTGGGGTATGTACCATCTGGTCTAAGAACCTGATGGCAGGGAATCACAATCATGTATGCGTTCTATTGAAGATTCAACCACCAGTATCATCAAAGGGAAATCTAATAGGTCCCAATTCAATTTTTGTCAGAGAATTCATTCACTTTAAATTCACCCAGTACACCTTGTTTATCTCTTCATGCCAAACAGGAATAGTCTTTGGTCAGTGACCTGAGAGTACCTTTGAGTGCCTTGCAGTCCATTAACTTTCAAACCTTGAGCAGCAGCTGGCAGTACAGAATTAATACAGGCAGATTTCTTCAATTGTTATGAGAGGAAAAAAAAAAAAAAGAAAGGAGCAAAATTGGGCCCCTGCTGAGCTTCATTACAAACCATAATCAGAAATTGATTCTTTTCATTTCCAGTAATAGGTCTTGCTGCCATAATTAAGCTGTCAGATCATGGATAGATAATTTAGCAAGCAAGCACCTGACAGCAGAATTCACAGACAAGCGTAGCTGCTGCTAAAGGCAATACAGATTCATAGTCAATACAGAGAGGCTGTGAGTCTAAGATCACACCCCTGTACATCGGATTGGTCTCTTCCTAGTCACATTCATATAATGCCTTCTACGAGGATTCCATTTATTTTGCTGGGGTGGCTGGGTGCCTTTTTAACCTGGCAGGGTTGCTAGGAAGTCATGGGTGTGTGGCTACAGTATTCCAGAATGCCAAATAATATCAGTCTTAGATTTGAACAGGGAAGCTGTCTTCTACTGAGCTGGACCAACAACCCATCTAGTTCAGTAGGTTTATATACTGATTGGAAGCAGCTCTTAAGGGTTTCAGACAAGAAAGCATTTCCCAGCTCTACCTGGGAGACGCCAGGGATTCAACCCAGCACTTCCTGCATACAAAGCAAATCCTGTACCACAGAACTACAGCCCACCCCTCCATTTCTTCCTGATTTGGCTAAGAAGCATCGATAAGCCTAACTTCCACAGAAGGACATCAACAGAACCTCTGTGTGTGTCGTCGTTGCCTAGATGCTGGGATGCATAACAAATATTCTCCCATATCATGGCAATCATGCCAATCCTTCTGATGCAGTTATAATAATGTGTTCTCCATTTGCTTCCTCAAAGGATTGGGTCATACTATCCCCACCTTGTTTCCAGTAAACTGCAAGGGGCTTTTGTCTGTTCCTACTTCCTGCTGGTCAGCACATCCCAATGTCCCCTTAAGACAGACTGCTTCCATAATATCCTGCTGTAGTTTCTGCCAGTAGCATGACAGCATCAGCTCCTGAGATCTTGCAGCCACCCTATCATGTTGCAATAGCTTTATGGAAAGTCGCTTTAATGTTTCTGCTGCGCCGATCTTTTTTTTAAACTCAGTATTTCACCCATAGCTGTCAACGTTTCCCTTTTTTTAAAGGGAAATTCCCTTATTCTGAATAGGATTCCTCGCAAGAAAAGGGAAAAGTTGACAGCTATGATTTCACCCCATTTTAAAATACTTCATTTATTTATAAATAAATAAGTAGGTGCAGAGCATGTTCACATTCTTACACATAAAGGTTGGTGGGTAAGGTGGGGATGAGCAGGGTCTAGGTCAGGGGTCGGCAAAATTTTTTAGCCACAGGCCGGTCCACTGTCCCTCAGACCTTGTGGCAGGCCAGAGAAGTGGCACTGGGTGGGGGGAGCTGGAAGAAGAGGAGAGGGGGGCAAGTAGTCCTCCTCCCAGTGTGGTGTAGTGGTTAAGAATGGTGGACTCGTAATCTGGTGAACCGGGTTCGCATCTCCACCTGCAGCTGCTGGGTGACCTTGGGCCAGTCACACTTCTTTGAAGTCTCTCAGCCCCACTCACCTCACAGAGTGTTTGTTGTGGGGGAGGAAGGGAAAGGAGAATGTTAGCCGCTTTGAGACTCCTTAAAAGGAGTGAAAGGCGGGATATCAAATCCAAACTCCTCTTCTTCTTCTTCTCCCCACCCCCACCTGCTGCGTTTACCTTCCTAGGGGCTGCCACCAGCACCACCACTGCTGCTGCTGCTTCTTGTTGGTAGGCAGAGCGAGCTCGTCTGCTCCGTTCTCTGGTACATAGGAGCACCAGGCTGGAGGGAAGATGAGTGGTGTGAAAGGGCTGGCTCCGGAGAGGGGCTACTCAGAATGGTGCTCAGCCAGCTCAGCCCAGCCCCCTTCCTCCTCTAGGCAGGGTGGGGAGAAGCCAGGAGGAGGGAGGGAGGAGGCACTGACATGGTGTGTGTGAGGGAGGGGGGAATGGAATGGTGCAGGGGGGAAATGGCGCAGCCCAAACGAACAGAATCCCCACGCCGATCCACAGACAGTCCGTGGGCCGGATCCTGAAGGCAATTGGGCCTGACATCTTGAACCTCAAGAGAGATGAATAAAAGCTTCAAACAGGAGTGGGATGAAACTGACAAGACGCTGCCCGCAACTCTGCAACAGGCTGTATAATGGAGTCCCTGTGATGAAGAGGTGAAACTGGCCAAGTTTTTCTCATACACACTGCCTACAGTGAAGATGATTCTCCACGAGACTCTGCTGCAGTGGTTTCTGTTTCACACAAACACACACACACACCTCTTCACAAATAAATTTGCCTAATAACAATAATTTATTATTTATACCCCGCCCATCTGGCTGGGTTTCCCCAGCCAGTCTGGGCGGCTCCCAACAGAATATTAATAATAGTAATAATAAAGTGATAAAACACCAAACATTAAAAACTTCCCGATACAGGGCTGCCTTCAGATGTCTTCTAAAGGTCAGATTGTTGTTCATTTCCTTGACATCTGATGGGAGGGCGTTCCACAGGGCGGGTGCCACTACCTGGTTCCCTGTAACCTGTCCCTCTGCCTGGTTCCCTGTAACCTGTCTTCTCGTAGGGAGGGAACCACCAGAAGGCCCTCAGCGCTGGACCTCAGTGTCCGGGCAGAACGATGGGGGTGGAGACGCTCCTTCAGGTATACTGGGTTGAGGCATTGCACATTTAATGCTCTTCTCTTCTATGACTTTCTTATACAGGCAATCCCCCATTTATGTAGGGGGTTACGTTCCGAGGCACCGCACGTACCAGTAAAATTGTGTATATTTGAAACACCATTGAAAAATCCTGCAAACACCCCATTCTCTCCCCATCTCGACCCATTTTGCCTCTTTTTGTGATGTTTTCAGGTCACTTCCGGGTTTGGCGCAATGCAGATATACACGGTCACATGCATATTGAACGCACATAAATGGGGAGTTGCCTGTAACTGGGTTTTTTTTGACATGTTTTTATTTGTAAGGGGTAGCCAACTTGGCGACCTCAGATGTAGTGAAATACAGTGTCCATCAGTCCCATTCTGCATAGCCAACAGCCAGGGGGGGTGGGAGTTGTAGTCCAAAATATCTGTAGCTCACTATTTTGGTTGGCCCTTGCTACATCCTTATTTTATATGGTTATTTGAACTCCCCCCTCCTTCGTTCACTTTTTTAAAAAAATAAAAAGGTGTTTACATTGTGAGTCATTTTGAGTTCATTTGGGTTGTAAGCTTTTAAAAGGAATAAAATGAAACGAGCATCTTAGTTAAACTCCCGAGAATTGTTTTCCAAGAGCAGGGAAATGAAACTGACAAGACTTTCAACCCTTAGCTCTGCAGAAAGTCCAAAGGCATTTTACAACAGAAATAAAATTGACAACCTCTCATCAGGGGAAGTGGCTTCTCGCTCCCTGCAGAGGTGAGAGCCTTGTCATTTTTGCCACCCTTTGTGCACACATTTTTTGGATCACAAAAGCAACATGGAGCAAAATGCTGTACACTTTCTTTTCTGCAGCCAAACAGTTGCCAGTCCAATAACAGGGGAGAGCATTCTCTCTCTCTCTCTCTCTCTCTCTCTCTCTCTCTCATCTGTTTCTCTGTTTATCTATCCATGCATCCATGCATCCATCCATCTGGCTCAGCTCCTGCACACGCCACTTGCCAACTCCAGAGGCAGAGGAAGGGGGGCGGTGGGGGCAACCCCCCCTAGGTGTCATCACTGAGGGGGGTGACATTCGGCGTGCCACCCACCCTTGACTCCCAAGCCTACCCCGAGCCATTGGGGGAAAGGGCAGAGCTGTGCCACCTTGCCGGCGGCCTTCCCCCTTAGTTTTGACAGCTCAGGGGAGGCTTCCTGGAGGGGGGAAGCCTCCCCCAAGCTGTTAAAAGGCAAATAATAATAATAATAATCCTTTATTGTCACTACACCACCTGTGTGCAGTGAAATTAAATGAGCCCCCCCCCATACACTCAGTCTTGTTCACACTCTGTGTGCTTGTCGGAAGTGAATTGCACCACTATTTATTTTTTTTCATTCAGCAGTCCAACAGCCCATGGATAAAAACTGTTCTTTAACCTGTGGGTGCAGCTGACTATACCTCTGTATCTACTGCCCAGAAGGTAAGAGATTAAAGAGGTGTTGGCCGGGGTTTAAGTCGTGCCTAAGAATTTTCCTCACTCTCCTGAGGCAGCAGTCTCCTGCGATGTCATCTAGTGAACTCAGGGGACAGCCCATAATATCATGTGCTGTGTTCACCACTCTCTGTAGGGACTTCCTGTCCGTGGCTGTCAAACCAGCATACCACACTGTAATACAGCATGAAAGGACACTTTCTATTGTGGACCAATAGAAGGAGATCATCAATTTTTGTTTGACATTGTTCTTTCGCAAGACCCTGAGGAAATGGAGTCTTCCTAACCACCTGGGTTGTGTTGATTTTCCAAGTGAGGTCTTGGAAACTCCCAGGAATTTAAAGGAAGAGACTCTCTCCAC